TTACAAAATCTAACAGAAAAAAAACAGCATTGTTTTCATTTCAAAGCAAATTTTTACTCTTAATACTAAAATTCCCTCTTAATACTTTGACTTCACACATTTTTTCTGACTGTTGGCTCAAAGTATTCGTGAATTGTATTTTTGTTTATAATTAATTTACTTTATTTATGTTTCTTTACAGATGAGACAAGAAATGTTGTGGTGACAAGCGCATCTTCCCATAAAGTATAATTCATTGTGAGTACTTTAATAAATTTAAACTTCTTTTTGCCCATTATTGATTTTGTATAAAACCGTGCTTAGATTTTTGAAGAGTCACTATATTTTTGATTCTAAAGGAATCACGCATAAAATTTTGAAGAAAAAAATTAATATTATCAATGATTTAAAAAAACTCTTATGTTACAATTACAATTGATATTTCGTATTATATTTCAGTTATTATTTTTATTGCTTGAATTATTGGTGGTTTCATGAATTTCAAATAGGAAACTTATTATTTTTCGTTTTTTTCCTAAAAAAATCACCTCAGTTAACAAAAATGTTATTAAAAAAATTACAAACAGTGAGCAGCTTGAAAATTCACGTTTTCCGACACTTCTGGAATTCTTCATGCTACAATTACGCTGCATTAAAATATCGAGAATTTATAGTACATTGTGTTAAAATATCGGAAAACATGTCTCAAGCTTCAAAAAAAAATGGTAGAAGAATAATTTGAATTGACGATGAAATACAACACAAAATTGTACAAAGAAAATATTAATTAAATGCACGATTAAAAACTCGCATGTCGTAATAAAATTTGGAAAAAAATCACGTCAAAACCCTCGTCTAAATCACGTGGAAAAACACAGCAATAGTTGCAAAATAAAAATCGCTTAAATTACGGTGAAATCAGCATGAATAAAGGGATTCAGTAAGTAATTATTTAAAAGCGTTATTTAAAATTCGCATGTCGATATATAATTCTGAATTTTTAAGACCACGTGGAAATGTAAAGCAATATCTGCTGGAAAATAGTTGAGAAATAAATTGGGTTTACGACGAAATCGGTACGAACAAAGCTCGTAACAAAAGAGATAATTTAAATGTGTCGTCATGATATCGAAGTAAGAATTTGGCATTTTCAAAATCACGTGGAAAAGAGCAAAAAAAAATTGCCTTTCAAAAAAAAAGTTTTTTTTTTCAAAAAAAAAAAAAAAAATCATTTCGTCTTACGGTGAAATCGGTGTAAATAAAGAAAGCCAAAAAATGCGCGATTAAAATATATAAAATAATAAATGCACGATTTAAAGTTCGCAAGTTGTAAATCGTATCAAATGTATCGGCATTTTTAAAAGTCCCGCAGTGGACTGGTCGTAAAGGCACGGTTCCTACTAGAACACTGAAGTAAAGCGTCACTGGCTGCGGTCAATAAGCGGGTGATTGACCACTTTGATCAGCCTACGTAGGGGCCGAGGGTGTGCGGTATCGGTCCTTGTTAAACTGTTCTACCGTAAATTGCTTCAAGCGCAGGTCGCCGGGCTACCAAAGCGGAGGAGCCATCCCCTCTGCTGAGGATTAAAATTATGATGGCATGTCTTCGGATCATCCTCGGGGATGTTTCCTAGACCGTCGCCAATAGCCCATTATGCAGATCTAGTGTGACGTAAATAAAATACCTATCTACTTTTAAAACCCACGTGGAAATTTGTAAATAAACTGCCAAAATAAAAGGATCGAAAAATTTCTTGGATTTAAGATTAAATGTGCAAACATAAAGCGAGACAAAAAGTGATTACTCAAATTCGAAATTCGCGTATCTTGATATCGCATTAGAAGTATATTGGTTTTTTTTAAAAACCATGCAAAATTCCGAAACAATTACGGCGGAAAAAGCGATCGAAAAATATAGATTTGCAATGGAATCTATGTAAATTGAACTCGTCAAAAAGTGATGACTCAAATGTGAAATTCAAAATTTTCGAATTTTTTTAATTTTTCAATTTTTTTTACTGTGGTTTTCAGTAGCTTTTGTGGGACGCACATCAACAGTCGACGGGCCGCAGTTTGTGTGCCCCTACTACAGTCTACTCTGGGGAAATATACTTATACCGCAATAATCTATATCTGTATAAAGAAAAGGTTAACAAAACTCTGGATAAAGTGCTTGATTTGTTTCTTTGCTGTTACTATGGTAATGAAATAATTGCAATAAAACATTTAAATAACTTCTATAAAATGAAAGTAGTATATGTTATGTATTGCTATGGTCCAAAGGTCAAAGATCAGGTCATGAGAGATGATCTTTTGAGTAGCTTTCTCCTTCTGTTGAATAAAAAATACTTGAGAGGATGGTATACCTAAGAAAATGGAAAATGTATCTATATTTTTTGGTTATACTACGGTAGTAACTTTTCATCTCAAATTCTCTTTCAAATCCACTAGTAGTTTAAAATTTCAAGCATCGAAAATATGTGTTCAGGCAAACCTAGAGTAGCCATGAAGTAAAAAATACCGTAAAGAAATTTTTCAAAATATTAAAATAAAAGCAAATTGTGAGAGAACTTAGGATTACGCAATGGGAAGTTCTCTTCCAAAAATATGCTTCTATTTTGATATTTTGAAAGAAATTTTTTCAACAATTGAAACTTCATGGTCTCTTCTAGGTTTTCCTGAAAGCACTTTTTCATATTTTAAAAATTTTAAATTAGTGGACTGATCGTTAAGACACGGTTCCCAGCAGATCACCGAAGTCGAGCATCACTGGCTGCGGTGAGTGTGCGGGTGGGTGACCACTTGGATCAGTCTGCGCAGTGTTTCCCAGACCGTCGCCAACAGCCCATTGTGCAGCTCTAGTGCGACGTAAATGAACTACAACAATTATTTATTTTTTGATAAATAAACAAAAAGACATTTCTAACGCATTGAAGGACCACCATGGCCAAGCAGTATCGCCCACTTGACGTTCTGAAGCGTGGATGTAGAGGATTCGAATCCCACAGAACCCTATGGTTGTAAATTATCGTTGTCCTTCATTAAATTGTTCTGTTCTGATATTTATTTATTTACCCATACGTAGGCAGGCTTGTGTACTCATTATAAAGAACAGCTTATAAGCTTTTATCAAAGATGCACAAATTAGAGAAAGGTATCATTAAGATATATCCAGGTTTATAGTTTGATTCGAACCTACTACCTGACGCCACAGTATTTTTTTTGTCTTTCGAGTGGGGGGTCCTTCCTTCTGTTCTACGTGTTTTGCTTTACCCATGGTTTATAAACCGTACTTAGTAATAAAAAGCACATAGGCTTGATTATGAATGTAATTAAATAAATAAGTTATGGGCGTCTCCCTAACCAAGGAGTCTCACCGTTACACCGAGCACTCTGTGATGTGGAGGTAGAGGATTCGAATCCCGTCGTATGTATGTACTTTTGTAACGTCATTCTCTAACTTGTGTCATCTGCTCTTCAACTTGACAAGGGCTAGTTAGCGGTACTTTGTGATGATCACACAGTCTGCATATGCGCTTGTAATAATAAATAAAACATCTGCATCAATAAATAAATAATTTATTGTAAGGGGACGTCCAAGTGGTACCACCGTTTTGCTAAACGCTCTATATCCTTGTATGTATCTTTGTGCTGTTCTTACACTGAATATGCGTTCATAAGCCGTTCGTTGTATCGAACACATACACCTGCATACGTACGTTTAACAATAAATAAATAAGCTAAATTAATAGATTTTGACGTCTGAAGAGTGTCAGTTCAAAGAGAAAAATTATTATACTTATCTAAATTCATTAATTTAAGGAAAACAATTACAATTATGTTACGGTTATTTTATATATAAGAGAAATATTTATTTAAATTTTTGTGTTTATTGCTTCTTTTTATAATTTGAGATGTATTAATTTTGAAATTCTAAACTGTTTTGGACGAGAATATCGCTCAAAAAGAATATTTATAAACTATGTTGCGTCCCGCAGTGGACTGATCGTTAAGACACGGTTCCCAGCAGATCACCGAAGTCAAGCATCACTGGCTACGGTCAGTGTGCGGGTGGGTGACCACTTGGATCAGTCTGCGTAGGGACCGAGGGTGTGCGGTATTGGTCCTCGTTAAACTGTGCTACCGTAATGTGCTCGACTTCGCGCGCTGGTCGTCGGGCTACCGAAGCGGGGGTGCCATCTCCTCCGCAGAGGATCGAAATTGTGATGGCATGTCTTCGGATCATCCTCCGGGATGTTTCCCAGACCGTCGCCAATAGCCCATTGTGCAGCTCTAGTGCGACGTAAATTAACAACAACAACAATCGTTGTATCGAACACATACACCTGCATACGTACGTTTATCAATAAATAAATAAACTAAATTACAGATTTTGACATCTAAAAAGTGTCCGTTCTATGTGAAAAAGGATTATACTTGTAAGTTTTCTTTATCTTAATTCATTTATTTAAGGAAAACAATTAGAATTATGTTTCGGTTATTTTATATATAAGAGTAATATTTATTTAAATTCTTGTGCTTATTGCTTCTTTTAATAATTTGAGATGTATTAATTTTGAAATTCTAAACTGTTTTGGACGAGAATATCGCTCAAACAAGAATATTTATAAACTATGTTGCAGTATCTGGTGAGCGAATGTTCCCGGTGGTTGGTGAACGAGCAGAGGGTAGTAACTCTTAACCTTTTTTTTTGATTGATTTATTGAAATTACATACATTTGCTGACTTGTGTGCTCAATATAGGCTTATAAGTAATTGTCAAGTAGAAAATACAGATAGAACAATTCAGAGAAAGACATCACAAAGAATACATCCAGGGTTACGCGGGATTCGAACCCGCTACCTCCACGCTTAACAGAGCGTTTGGACCGACGATACCGCTCGGCCAGGGAGGCCCCTTTTTTTTTGAATCTATCCGTGCATTTCTTATTTACTATTTTAAATTAACTTAACGAATTTCATGTTGATTGATCTCTTTGATTTATTAATTTTTTTAATCTGCTCGTTCACATAGTTTGAAAAACCTAACTTCAAAAAGAAGAAAAAAAATCTTTTGAAATTTTAAATTGTGTGTTACAAGCTCAAGCAATTCAGTGTAGCTTAAAATAACGATCAGTGTCCTAACCAATGCACGATTTAATTTTTTAAAATTATTGTAAACGCGCTATTCTTATTTTGTGTGCGATGATCTGGAGTTAAAAGTGATAGATCCAAATCAGAGAAGTTTCTACCGATCAACTTCAGTAAGTAATCGATCGTTCTATAGATTAAAGAAAGCAAAATGTCTGTTATAGACATTTTTCTAGGGGTTCTCATTTGGCCATTTCGATATTTCAATGCTCATAAAATTTCCATACATAATATTTTAAATGTTTACAACAATTTAGCGTAGGATTTCGAGTATTTAAACTTTCCTTCCATTTCTTTTAAATAGAGTCTATTTAATCATGTTATTGAATTTTTGTTAAGAAGTTTTAAACTATGTTAAATTCCTTTTCTATATTTTTTTTAAAAAATTCTTTTATGAACTATGTTAAAAAAATACATTCATTTATATAAGATTCCTTTTGGTGAAAGATATTTTATTGAGATACCTTATTGATATTTCATTAAATAAAACTTTTTTTTTATTAATTATAAATATACATCTTTATATCTAACACTAACGTGGTATTTTCTAGTTAAAGCTTGCAAAGTTAGTGACTTACTAACGATAAAATTATCTAAAGATCCTGCACTAATAATGGCAAAATGAGTAAAATTCGAACAAAATTATGTATAGTGCATTTCAGCCCTTGCAAATAGCAACTTGTCAAACTTTCTAATAGAGTTGATTTATTCTGTTTAATTCCTAATACAGAGAAAGTAATTCCAATTCAAAAGTTCTGTATTATGCGGTGCTGTCAACAACAACGGTAATTGCATTCTGTTTGCAATAAACTTTGCCTCTTGACAACAGTGCTGTTTTGATACCGAAGAAATAAACACATAGTTCTGTTTTGTTTAGGATCGATTTGTTTTCAACTACTAAATAAATCATTATTTACGAAATATTAAGTGCTTCGTAATTCATTCCTAAGTCACCCTCATTTTGTTAAAGAAATTGTTTGAAAGTTTGAGACAGTAGTTAACTAAGCCGTGTCGTTTTATTTGTACAGATTTAGTTTGTCGTTTTATTTGTATTGTCTAAAATTTAGAACACATTTTGAATGGAATGTAGAGGAATAAAACATTGCCGGTAAGTTTTTATTTTAAATCTTCATAGTTAGTTAGAACTTCTTCATTAGAGAACATTAATTCATACATAGTTTTAATTTGTTTGGATTCTTTGTTTTCAACTAATTCTTTTATTTCTAACTTTATTTCTGTAGTTAGAATGTATCATAAAAATTTAATTAATTTAAATATTTTCGATATCGTTGTTTTTAAAAGTTTGCAATAAATATTTGTATTTAAGGTAATGAATATTAGTGTGCTGATTTTATATTTAATAAATATCTAGAAAATTATATTTGTCACTATATAAAAAATTTGTAAGCTTCCCTGTTTTTTGGGTGTTTAATTTTACGGCACATTTTGTTTTACATTTCTTTTTTGCTGCGCAAAACGATAAGACTTAGAAACTTGAAATTACTAAGGGGTATAAAAACGACGAAATAAAAAAAATTAACCATTGATAATTTATTCAAGAATTATTAGCCGTTAAGACAAGTACAAAATACCATGTGGGATGCTCTACAGTCCGCAGAAATGCAATAGTAGAGTTGAACTTTGACCCTTTCAGCTATATATTTTCATTTATAAATCACTTCTATTTTTGAATTTAACTATAGTTTTTTTGGCGAAAATCTAATTCGTTTGAAAATTATTGAAATTTTAAGTGCTTATTTTGCCAAATTCTTTCCTCACATTTTGTTTTCTTTAAGTAATGGCCGTTGTAAAGACATTTTATTTATAAGCACTTTTATAAGCACTTTTTTATAAGCAAATAAAAAAATAAATTAAATAAGGAGTAGTGAGAGTGATTGTATGTTTTCAAATATAGAACTTAACGTTTAAATTGGAAATTCTAAAATGTATGAAAAAAGCTTGATTCAACAGAGATAAAAACAGTTTCCAATTTGAAATGCTATGTTATAAAGTTATTATTTATGGGTAAAATGAATTCTCATTTATTTCTTCCCATTATTATATAAACTTGGCTTATATTCTCCCAAAATTATTTTATTTTCAATTGCAACTGATTATCTTTCACATCCAGGTTCATTTCGTTACGATTAACATATTAACAAATTATTCTTATATATGATTATAATAATTATATATTTTATAACAAAACGATCGTTTTTTTTTCTGAATCGGAAGCAATTGAGTTGGCGAGTAGTGTGAATTTGGGTGGAGTATCCGAGTGATTTAAATAATAATAAATAAGCAAAGATAATAATAAATAAAAAAAAAGATAATATAAGCAAAAATAATAATAAATAAAAAATTTATTTATTTTTTAAAAATGAGCAAATTAAACCAAATGAGAAAACAGAAACGTTTTGGTATGAAAGAAAAAAACACAATACTTACGTCAATATAAAACACATTACACATTTTTTGTTTGTACTGAGTTGCAATTTATGCTGATAGAATAATGTTCTCAAATATATAAACTGTTGAGATGTGCAAAAATGAAACTGATATTTTAAAAACTTGACATTGGATATGATTAATTTATTGATATCATAGGGGGAGGAAGGAAGTGAAAATAAAATTGATTCCACTATTCAGCAGGGTCATCAATAAAATAGAATTTTTTTTTAATTGCGATGAATTAAAACACACCTGTCTTCCTTTTAGATTTCGAAACAATGTAGTTTGCCCCCGAGCTTCCGCATTTTGATCATGATTTACGTTCCAATTGTGTGGCAATATGCCAGGCAGGCGATTCGATTGTTTTGCTTTATGTTCTGATGGCATGTTGGCGAATGGTAATGGGTTTTTACCCTAAGAGTGGAATGTTGTTTTGATGTCATAAATCTGTTTCTAATGTCTGTCTAAATTTTATATGTTGGTATAAAGTCCTAGACCGCATTAGAAAAGTTTATTAAAAAATGTTGCTTGTTTTGATGTTGCCATCAATGTTTCCAATCACGCTATTTTACAGAAATAAAAAAAAAATCGAAATTAAATGAAAAATATTTAGTTTTAGAGCTTTATCATAGTTTTATTTCTTATACCTTGCAAAAATATCTTCTGTTCATAGAATGTTATGTTCGATCACATTTTAAACTAAATAAATAATACTCAAATCGAAAATAATAAGATTTTAAGATTTTAAAATAATAAGATTCATATACGAACTCTCACAACCTATCACACTGTAAACTGTGAGCTAAAAATATCTAACAAACAATTGCTACAAAAACTTCCACAACCTGTCATCAACATTGTAAAGTTATTTAATTCTCAAATATTTAAATTACCCCGTCCTGAATAGTGAACTTCTTCAAACCTAAGAGGTTAAAGGAATGTAAAAAATATTTTAATCACAACAATAAAGAATTGCAACGCCATTGTAAAAGTAGTCATAAATCTGACATATTTATATGAAAGCATTTTAGAAATGACATCATGTAGCAAGAGTTGAAGCTCTTGATATTTGATAAGGTTGGAGCTATCTTGAACCCTTTTAGAACTGGAGGGTATCTTTTTTTTTTTTGAAATAATGCTTTCATTTCTCCTCNTTTTTTTTTTTTTTTTTTTTTTTTTTTTTATAGAAATAATGCTTTCATTTCTCCTCGTTTTTATATACGAAGTTTTTTATGCGGCTTTTTAGAGAAATGCGAAACTGCAATAAAAAAGATAGCAGTTTGCATTTATCGGATCTTAAATTTTAAGTGATCTGTACGCTCAAGTTTGATACTGATGCACTTCTCTTTCATATGTTCCAGAGACTATATTCCAGAGACTATATATATATA